TGGCTCAGAATGATGTTGAAAATAAGTGGAGTTCTGGAAATACAAGCCTTTTAGCTGATGTAAACAAAATAGTTTTCAGTATGGGAGTCTGGCTGCTGTGTTGTGCAAGTTAGGCACCAACCTGATAGACTAAAAGTTAGACTGTGTATGTCTACCCACAGGGTGAGTTCTTTGATTGCCCAAAAGTGGGTGAGAGATTTGGCATGTCTTCTAAAGATGTTCTGTGATAAGTGTATGTGGTGTATGTAGGCATCCCAAGGCAAGTGACACAGGCTAACTTGAGAGAGCAATAACCCACAACTTCAACAGAATCAAGTATAATAACCATGTGAACAGTGTGATTATGTCCAGAAATTAAATCTAGGATAAGACTCAGTGGTACTGCTTAATTCCTGCCCGTTTGTTACAAAACGAGGGAACATACAGTTCTTACCTCTGTGTTGTAAAAGGAAAGGACCATTAAAGGTCTCAGTAATACTTACTACTGTGTACAGGGTTATATTTTGTCTTCCCATTATAGCACACAGTAGGTTACAAATACTGTCTGTCTCTGCAGACAGTGTCCATTGTCTCAGATCCTACGGCTGGCCAGGTGGGAGCAGGTTAAATGCTAGTCTCTGGGAGGTGGCCTTACTTGTAGTCACAAGGTTAGTACTTAAGAGGGAATGGTTGGGATTGTGCTGGTGTACTAGAGTGTAATCTAAACTGGATTTCCTGGTAATTTGTAATACTTAGTATTAGATTAACAATTGCCTCACAGTGTTTATAACTCTAAACTGCTGATACTTGCTCTCAACTGTGATCTTAGTTTAATACTTGTTTTGGAATAGAGATAAGGATTAATAGGAATCAGTAACACACAGCAGACGTGAGGTTCTACATCCTTTGGTGTCTGTAAATGGCACTGATTCAGCTTACTTTCCTGGGAAATATTTCTGATTCCTCATAGGTTTTTGGTTGTATCAGTATCTAGCAGCAATCTTTTATATCACATTAGATGATGTTGTAAATGTCATTCTCATGGAGTAAGAGTGTATAAAAATCAAAACGAGAAGAATAGAGATAAAATGAAGGGGGTTATAGGTGTCCTTTCCCTTTCTTGGTAGCTAAAGACAGTGTTTCATCAGAATTGGTTGCTATGGTAGAAGTTTCTCAGTAAGAAGAGATTGCTTTTCTAGAGATTTCAGTGCCTTCAAAAAGCTGAAGATAGAGGCATGTGAAAGGGGAAGGGAGGATGGCAGGGGGGGTGGAACTAGATGGTCTTAAGGTCCTTTCCAACCCTAGCTATTCTGTGAAGACAGGGCTGAGTAAGGTGACCGGGCGCACTTGATTGCATTGTAGCTTTACATGGCCTGTTGCAAATCTAGGAGCAAAATGCACAGGTTGAGCCTGTGAGTCAGAGTATCCTCCCACCAGAACTGGGCACATTCAGGGCTCTATGTGTCTCTGTCACACCCAGGTCAGCAATGGAAATGCTCCATCACCTTATTGTGTCACTTAGAACATTTTTACTTGTTTATAAGACTTTGATCTCATACCACTAGGAAATGTAACAGATGAAAAGAGCATACAAACAGCTTTGCTCTGTGGGGAAATAACTGTGAAGAGAGCTGGGGTGTGTTTTCTGTATGTGCCTGTCTGTAGTACTCCACTGTCACACCAAAATTAACTATTTCACACTTCTTGTCTGTGCAAGTTTTCTCAGTAGGCTTCTTCCTAGCATCTGGAGTGCTATAAATTCATCTTTAGCTCATGGCACTGTCTTTCTGCAGAGAAAACAAAGGACAGTTCTAATCCTCTCTAGTGGCAATAGAAATGCTGAAAATGCTTTGAGAGGAGTATATGCATATGAGGATTTCTGTAAAAGCCTTTACTTTTACCTTGAGACTTGCTTTTCTGAGTTTTTTCTCATTATCACTGACAATCATATTTACTATGTGGCATTGCTCATGGTAAATATTTTGTTCCATTCATTGTATGTGAATATCTCTCATAAAACATTAAAGGCAACAGCGAAATCTGTAGGAAGTACTGCATTCCTGGTGCCTGTGCCGATTCTTTCTTTTTTTTTGATTGGGATTTCTGTGCTTATATGCCAATATCATCAGTGATGTTTTCTCTTAAACCTTGTCCCTTCCCAATCCAAACAGATACTTCTTGAGCCTGAAACAGATAATAGCTGTACCAGAAGAACAGAAATGTGGAAAGCAAAGGACAGATATACACAGTTAGTGGAGACCTAAGTTTAAGTTTCACAGCTAGGCTTTCAGTGTTGGTTTAAACTCTTTCCCTTTCACTATCCAAATGCAAAAACACATATATGTGGAAAAAGTGCTCCATAACAGCTCTCTAACCCCCATTCTCATTCTTACACAGTAAACCAGTGATTTTAAGTGGAGAACAGAATGTGTTAGGAATGAGTTCTCAGTTCTTAGGGGTGAATGATTTCTAAACAAATCCTTGGTTTTGCTTTATTGATCCGGACCTGTAATACAGAAAGCCTGTGATGACTTTAGATTGTAGATTTTCAAATTTATTTTTCTCCTTTTCTTTCTTAGCACTCTGTCTTTAATATTCTTTTGGTGAAAACAGAAATGGCTGTGGTCTCACTGGGTACCGAGTATCATGATCTGGATATAAAGCCCTACAAATGAAAGAGCTGTTATAGCTACCCACCTGAGCAAAGCAGGGATTGGACCACACCAGATTTGGCCTGGAAAGTGAATTTTCAGAGGCTGTGAAGCAGTAAGATACAGCAGAGAACATGAGTAGAAAATGTTGCCTTTGACCATTAGTGCTTAGTTATAGCTGGCAGAGGTACTGTGAGTCATGTGTAGAGCCAGGGAGCTCAGATGGTGTCTGGCTGTACCCTTTTTATAGGCAGGGTACAGCCTTTCCACATCTCAGCCTGTTTGCTTCTAGAAAAATCAATGGCCTGAAACACTGGAAAAACATAGGGGGGAAGCTTGAGAGAAAAAGAAATGACTTTAACTTCTCCCTTATACAATTACAGCTATGTTTAAGTTGATCAGCATACCTGTTATTGCTGAAGTAGGTAGCCAAGAACCCCTGAATTCCTAAATTCAGAACTCTAAATGAAATGGCAGTGCAAGTTACTGTATGATCCTGGAATCAAGGACAGCAGGGAAACAAGTAAGAAAGAACATACATCCTTAAAAATAGGGGTGAAAGAAAGCTGAGCAACAGAGGAAAACCAAAACTTTAGGCGAGCTTCTAGTCTCAATTATAGCAGTGTAAGCCCAAAGACACACTGGTAAAACTAATGGACATACCACAGACTGTAGAGTAGCAACTGAGATCAGTTTTCTCTCATACTTTGGCATTTTCTGCCTCTAGAGGTAGTGACAAAATCCCTGTTACCTATGTTCAGGCATTATCATATAAGTGGAGAACCTCTTGGCATTGCCCACTGATTTGAGAAGTAAAAGAAATCTTCTGCATTTCTTGTATTTTTTTGTTAACTCTGCTTCCAAAAGGACCTGAAGTCGCAGTGGTAAAACCCTGGTGTTTATTGATAGACTGTAGTTAGTTAAGCGATAAGTTATAAGCAAGGGTGTGATGAGGATTCAGTATCTGTGAGCAGAGAAGTTAGATATTCTGAGGGAGCAAATGGAAATGGCAATTGATATGGAGAGAGAATTCTTGCTGGAATACCCTGGTGGGTTTTATTTTCATGCACTTGAATATGAGTGGGACATTAGTCGAAATGCACAGGCCTTGTAACCTCAGAAGCAAGGTTCATTGTCTGAACACTAAAACAGCTCTGTAAACAGCAGCACACACTTATATCTATGTTTGGTTAGTGTTTGCCTCCTCAGCAGCTGGACTTGTTTGGTACAATCTCATACATAGAAGTAACAACTTAGAAAATTTCACTTTGAAGAGCTGGAGTCTCCAAATGCAGTCACCTGCTTGGGGAAGAAATCAGTGCACAGTTTGTGTGTTACCCTTCTCCAAAGCGTACAGAAATAAGACAGTTCAAAGGCTGGGATTAGTATCCCTGCCTACGAGAGGCATTGCAGGGATCCAGCTCAGCATGACTATGAAATCTAACTGCTTCAGTTGTCGTCATACTCATCACTCAGGAAAAAGGCAGCAATTGGGGTGACCCTGAGCAGCCAGCTGCCTTTCTCCAGGCTGGATGCATGTTGTCATTCAGTTTATCTAGACGCCTATAAGCACTGTTAAGAAGTAACTGACTGGCACGTTAGGCTCCTGCTGGTGGATTAATTTTTATTGCCTTGTTTATTTGGGAAGTGCTAGTGCTCAGCTTGCTCCAAGGTTTGAAAGGTTGCTTTCCCCCTGGGATCCTGTGCTGCTGGCTGCTGCTTTAGGGATCAGGGCTCTTCTTAATCCTCAGTAAGGTGGGGGTTGTTCCTTCAGAATCATGTATTTGCTACTACATTGGGCTTTTCATGTCATGTTCTTGTTTGCTTTGGCTCTGTTTATGAAACTAAGTTTGTAACCAAGAAGGAAGGAACAGATACGTGAAAAACCTGTGAGTAGGAGAGGAGCTGGTGAGGAAGCCTGGAACTGGGATAGTTAATCTGAGCTATCCAAGGACTTGAGCTAGTGGCAGCATTAGTTAGAAGTGCAAAGTGCGCATGACCTGTCGCTAAAACAAGCATTGCACCTTGTGGAGTAAGTGGAGGAATGTCATGGAGATCTTGCTGTGCCCACTTTAACCTAAAGCTGCCTTTGGATTTAGAGTTACAATCATTTTATTTCTCCAAATCACATGTGCAAATCTAAACCTGAGGTGTGAGAATGAGCATAAATGATCAGGGCAGGGGGGCAACAGAATTTAGTTTTGAAGCTTTTTACCTCCAAGTCTCTGTTTCTCAGCAGCCCAAATCTGTAGCGGCTGAAGTCCTGAAGAAGGTTTGCAGGTGCAGTGTAGACAGGGAGGCTGAAAGATCCTACCCCGTGTAAGTGAATATTTGTTTTGGTTTTATACAAAGTAAAGAGGAATCACATCTAAAAAGACATGCATCATCATTTGTAGCAGTAATTCCATTTCTTTTTACCCGTAAATGCTAACACAAAACATTATGGAAGGAAACAAAAACAAGTTAAGAGCAGTCCCCTGGGAACGGACTTAATTCTGTTTCTTATGGACTATTTTCAGATTTTAATATTTAAAATAAATTGCTTACATAAGCAGTTCAGGACCCTGAACTTCCCATGGAAACCTCAGACAAATGACTGCAAGTAACTAACATGCAGCATATGGATCACGGCTTTCACGTGACTCTGTGTACAGTGTTTTGCAATGGGTCTTCCATTGACTCCTTTAAAACAAAATAATAACATGTCCCATCAAGACAGCAATTCAGGTTTGCCCAGCAAAGGGTGACCTGAAGGATGTCTCGTAGCACCTGCTGAAACCTGGTGTGAATGATGTTATTCTTCACCAAGAAGTACAGGAAGTATGCCACGTGGTAAGGTGTGAAGCAGACCAGAAATGCCACAAGGTTTGTCACCACTATCGTCTCTGCCCTCGTGGTGTGTGTTTGGGGGTTATCTGGTTTTCTGTGCTTTCTCAGGCACCTGACGGTCTGAGCAGTGCAGAAGGTCATGGTTGCCATGCTGCCGAAGAAGGTGGCCTCCAAGGCGCTGAACAGACCTGCATTTTCCCATGTGCTCTTGGAGAAGTTATGGAAGCAGGATGAGATGTTGTGGCCCTTTCCATGCAGCTGGAAAGTAGAGACTGTCCCAGCTGAGGTGCCCAGGCAGATGATAGCACAGACCACAGCAGCTTTCTTGATGGATCGCAGGGTGGGAGCTGTGAAAGGGTGCCGGATGGCAATGTACCGGTCTACACAGATGCAGAGGGAAATGAGGATGCTGCCATACATGTTTACAAAGTAAAGACTCTCCAAGGTGGAGCAAAACACAGATCCCAAGTTCCACTGGTCCTGAAGGTGGTAGGAAATAATTTTAAAAGGAAGAGTAAACAGCAGCAAAGTATCCAGGAAAATAAGGGCTACCATGTAGACTGTAGACTCTGACAGCTTTTTAACCTTAAAAAGCAGGAACGACAGAGCCATCACATTGAACAGCAATCCCAGGGTGAATATGGGGGTGTACATGATGAGCTGGAACAGTTCCACAGTAGCACTGATACTGCTGATGTTGCTGTTGGCACGGGTCTCATTCATATCTCCAGGTATGAAGAGGTATTCTCCACTGGAAGAGAAGAAAATTACCTTCACCACAAAGAAGGATAAAGATCACATTTAAGACACGGTACAAAGGCAAATGAGGTCTTTGTGTCCATAGAGATGTTTTTTCCTCTTGGACTGCTGTGTGCTGAATTGCAGCTGCCAGTAACACAGAGCTTATCATTGCCAAGGGATCTTGGGGCAAGACTGTGCCTCAAGGAGAAGCAAGGATTTCTGAGGTCCAAGCCTCACTGGCACTGTTACCCCAAACTGTGCTGCCCTATAATTTAGGCTAGGCAGAATACAGATGTGACTGCAGCATCCCCTTGGAGTGTTGCAATCTCTTTGCAAAGCTGGGGAAGCAGCCCCTGATTTTAGGGTTACTTGGATTATGGGGATAGAAGCAATTAGTTGGATTGGGTTTCCTGAATCAAGCTATTATAATAGATTTTGGGGAATCAAAAGCATGAAGGGTCCTGCATATTTATTAATGTGAAGATCCCAAATGGTCATGGGCATTCTGCACCCTCTCCAACCACCACTGGCTGTGATTACCTCTGTCCCTTCTGACAAACTTGCTAAAAGCAGCAGGCAGGAAGTTTCAAGCAGGCTATTTTTAGAAGGGGTCAAATCTTTACAAGCAGAATGAGATTTAAGAACCCAAGGTTTTGTCTAAAGCAGCCAGACTTACCACAGCAGATGAAGTTGTGTCTGCAGACACGGGATTTGCAGAAGACAGCTCGTTTCTCCTCCGCAAAGAGGGAACTAAAAATGTTGAGGTAGGCACCCTATGAGGAGGGGTCATGGAGTAATCTTCTTTAGGGGAAGGGTGCCGGTTTGATTCTGCCTTGAAACTCTCATGATAAGGACCGGGAAGGCTCTCATTGGTTTCTGCAATGCTGGAATCAGCCGGAATCACTTAAAATGCAAATGCACAGGACTAGCTGGTCCTTTCTTCCAGCCACTTCCGTCACAGCAAATGTAACCTGTAAATAAAGCCTTTCAGAGATCTTTCTGTCAGCACGCAGGAATTACATTTGATCTGCTGCTCTCTAATTGTTATTACTTCCACCTAGTGCCTTTCCTATATGAGTTACTGATCTTGGTGCTGTTTCATTTCAGACTTGTGAACCTGTTTTCAAATGTGCAATCAAAGTTCCTGTTCTGCAGATCAAGTTGCTCCCTGAGTATTTCAGAGGTAAGCTCTCCTGCACAGTGATTTGAGGGGGATTAGCATCAGCAAAAAAGGAAATGTAATTATTTCTTAAAACCTAGCAGTTACTGTTAGGAAGACAGAGCAGGTTGGCTGTTTGCTTCTTGAGGACACACTGGTGCCAGGTAAATGATTCTGTAAGATACTTGTTTACATTGCAGAAGTGAGAAAACCAAGGGTAGAAACCCAGCCTGATGAGGAGAATGGGGTGCTGGCAGGGCTATGGGTGCAGGAAAGCATCCCTCTAGTGGGGTCAGATGCAGGGCTCCATCCACTGCTGTAGCAGGTACAGGTTTTATTCAGGTCCCTGCAGCTGGCAATGCTGCTGGCTGTGTAAAGCCTCCTCCAGCAGAGCACCACTGCCTATAAGGCATGGGGGGACATGGCTCAGTACAGCAGCAACTCTGACAGCAGTACCTGCTCTGCTGCCATCTGGGGGCGACTGAGGCTGGTTGGAGGGGAAAGAATGCATTTCCCCTCACCAAATAGAAAAGCAAAGCATGAGTTTGTGAAGCACTTGGGGATCTGAGAGGCTGGAGGGGAGAAGTACCTTGTTATGCTGCAGGTCGTTCACTGCCTGGGAGCTCAACCCTCCTGCAGCCACGGGGCTGGGGAGTTTGTTGTGAGCTGGGTTGTGTCCCACGGCAGATGAGGGGTTCCACTGGTGACCTGGGCAGAGACACTGCCCAATACGCTGCTCTGCTGAGTCCCCTGCATCAAATGAAACACTTTGAGTCTAATACTGAGAGGGAACCCGTTACAGAGAAATAGGATTTCAACTTCACAGGAAGATTTTTACCTGAGAAAAATCTACGTATGATAAAAAGGCATTTTAGACCAGAGTCTGTTGTGTAGATCTGTAAGCAAAGCAGAAAACTTTTAAAGCATGAACAAAAAGGGTAGCTCTGTTCATTCTTAAGAATGAATAGTAGATATGCTATAAACAGAACAAGTTATAACATATATTTAGTTTTCAGCTCTTGTAGCAAGAGAAAAGCTGCTAAGGTTTTACTACAGTAGAATATTCTCTCTCACCATCTTACCTTTGGGTTGTGTTTAGCTCTGCTTGGTGACTTTTCTTGCTTCTCAGCTTGTAGAATCCTTGAGCCTTGTGTTGTTTTTTGGAGGCAGTGGAGTGAGCTGCATGCAAATGGCTTGTCAGGATGCCAGGAAGCATAAAGTGCTGCTGATTTTGGTTTCATCATGTATTTCCATTACGGCAGCTGTCTCCCCACGCTGGGTCTGCATACACGCAATATGTACATATTATGTCATGCAGAGCCCATTTAAGGATGTAAATGCTTTGTGGGACTAGTGTCTCTGAGTCACCCATTCAAAACAGTATCCAGTGACAGAGAAGGAAATTCTGGCCTTACAGACCTTTGTCTTTTTTCCTCTACAAGACATGGTTTTATTGATTGTAGTTAACATCTGTGGGTAGTATAAGCTGTTAAAATGTGCTTTAAGCTAAATCCTAAGATATTTGTGTCATTGTTTCCATTACTTTTCATGATACCAAAAGGGTAAAAGAGGTCATTGATTTTCAATGGTGATCTGATATGTTCATTTCCAGTTGGTATTTTAAAGAAAAGACAGGGTTTACTCTAAAATGTGTTTATACCCCTAGGGAACAGGGCATTTGCCCATGAATTGTGTCAGGGGCTGATTTTGATTAGGTAGGAAGGGGGAAAAAAGATTTAATTTCTCTTTTTTTTTATTCTTTCTTTTTCTTTCCCCCTTGCACATGTGTTTGCAGTCTTCTTACCAAAGGGGGAAAGCAGTGCCAGCGGGGTAGTTTTGCTTGGTCCTCTGCATAGCCCATAGATAGGAAACCTGAGGATTATATTGGCTGGATTCAAACTGTGCATCTGTGAAAGCAGTGGGGGATAGGAGATAAGAGAAAAAAATAGTACTTGGGGTTTCCCCATGGTATTTCACTCAAAATGACTCTACTTAAGTAAAAATAAAAGAAACACCCCCAAAGGAAAAAAAACATGATAGAAAGTCTGAGTGAACAATACTTCATTGCATTCCTCAGCTAGATTACACTTCTGATACTGCCACCAGTGCTTGGAGTGGATGTTCTGTCTTCCTCATTCAAGGTTTCCACCTCACACACTTGTAGCATTCTCTTCTTTCTCATTTTCTCTTTGATACTCATACTCTTATGCTACCTAAGTGCTGCCCACCTCACCAGAAGCATGCCTCCTTGGGCCTGCTTGCTGCACAAAGCCCCATGTGGATAGGCATCTGGAGAAAGGTGCTTTGGAAAGGGGAGGATGAGGAAGCAGCAATGCCAGGTTGGCACATCATAGTCCAGCCACCAACAGTGGTTGTTCCACTTTTTTATTCCAGCAGACTTCCTTGGGATATTTTTTTAAGGAGGGATCTGTGGAGGAATGGCCAGAAAGGCATGCAGGGGGTACAAATGCACTTGAGACAAGGTGTGAAGACTCCTCTCCTTTCACAGGGTGAAAAAGGGTGATGCTGAGGGCTGATGGAGAGGAGAAAATTAAACCCAGTGAGCAGTGTAATGGCCACAATAGAGCAATGTATGGAGCCTTGGGAAGGTGTTGGAGAAGCTTTTACTGCTAGAGTGTGCTTGATTAAGGTTGCCATGGAGGGCTGACAGCATGTCTGAACTCCTTGGTCCTGTTGTGAAGCCTCGCTGAGTGGCACCCAGGAGTGCCAACTTCTCCCTGCATCTCACTTGGGACATGGGCGAAGAGGCTATGGGAGCTTGCTCCTGCCCCCCATGGGCCAAGTACTTGCCGTGGGCTATTGCAGCATCCCACCAGGGCTGCCTGCGCCTCAGGGTGTGCCACAACTGTGATGAAATATCCCGTCGCTTAAATCTGGTGGCTCTAGAGAGCTGTTTGTTATGGTGATGCGCCATCTTGTGGCTACAGGGGAAATGAGAAACACGGCTTCAGCCCTCTGGTGTCCCTGCGGTGGGTCACCAGAAGGAACAGCTTCTCCTGCAGCTCAGACAGCTTATTCCATAACCTGCCTCCACCAGCAGAGGTTGTTGTCTTCACCACCCACCATCCTGACAGCCCAGGACAGGTGAGAAAAGGGAGAGCAAACAGCTGTGATGGTGAGAAGCAGAGAGGACCAAAGCTCACAAACAACTGTGGAGCTATTCTGCTGCGTGTGGGCTCCTGGTAAGGCTGAGATCGAAGTACACTGGTCTGACCCCAGCCGATGGCCTTGTCAGTGCTGGTTAGTGTCCTCTGAAGGACCCTACAGTTAGAGAGAGGCGCCAGCAATCCTCGACTGTGCACCAGTGCCAAGGGTGTCCCAGTGGAGAATGGTCCTTTCAATGCTGGAGGAGCTTAATCTTCTGCCTGGGAGAGCAGGTGAGCTGATTTCTCTCTCTGAGCCCTGGTATGTTTAGTTTTGAAGGGATCTAGTATTTATTGAGACATATATCTCCACTGCCACAGAGAAATCAGCTGGGAATGCTCCTATGGGACCGCTGAGGCTAGGTCAGCAGCGTGGGAGGTTCTTCTATCAGTGCTCCAGGACTAATGAAATGTGAATAAATGCAAAAGGAACTCCTTTTGTTAAATCTTCTACCATGTTGTGAAATAAGGCCCAGGCAATTCAGGCATTTATTCCCTTACACCCTTACTCTGCTGATTCTCAAGCTGCAGCCCCAACAGCTACAACTTGGTGGAGATCTGCCTCTTGTGTTTCAGCTCTTTCACTTGTAGTTATTCTCCCACTCCACAAAGCACTTGTTCAAGCGTGACTTGTTCACCCTGGCTGGGACCTTACACGCAGATCACTCTGTGTGTCTCCTTCTAGCCTTTTGGCTGAGTCATTTTGACACTTCTTAAGGTATTTCTGTATGTTTTCCCCTACTCAAACTACTAGCTATGCTGGTCTTCAACTCATAACTGGACCTCCAGTCCAAAAGACCCTTAGACGCATTTTGAGCTCACAGGGCTGCTCGTACGGCTAAGGAACTGCATCCTTCTGGTATGCACCCTGTGGTGACCAGGAGAACCTTCATCAGAGCCCACATGGCTCAAGGCTCTATTTCTTCTTACGGAAAAGGTCAGTTTTCCTTGCCTTGTTTCCAGGGCCTGTGGAATGGCCCAGTGTGTGTCTGTGAGAAATGGTTAGGTGTACTTACAGCAGCCCTCATGGAGGGGAGGGAAGTTCGTTGCATGTCATTGTGAGAAAATAATGAACTAAAGAATATAAGAGTTGTTTTAGGCCAGAGAAATAGTGTGTCTAATATGACATCCTGTCTGACAGAGGCAGCAGTGGATATTTAGGAGAAGAATGCACTAAGAAAATGTATTCCTATTGTTGACAGTGCTTCTAGCAAGAAGAAGCTTAGCAAATAAGGAAAGCTTGATCTTAAGGCTCCCTTAAGTTCCAAACTTTGCTGTTCCCATGCCCCATTGTTTTTCTACTGAGGCCTTAACAGATACATGCCATGCACTGAACATGGTATGCACATACCTGTTTAGCAGGCAATTCTAGCATCTTCATGCTGAAAAAAACAGAATGCTTTATCTATGTATCTTTAGCATTTCAGGGAACCAGTTGGATATTTATGAACTGTAGTATTTAACTGCTGCTTCCTTTAAAAACAAGCCAAACCACCCGCAAATTGTATGATGCTACAACTTTACTTTTCCAGTGTTTAGTAGAGGTAGTTTGTCTGTTAATACTGCTTAAC